TATATGATTTAAATGTCCTTCTGTATCCACGATATTCGTGACTTTCTTTTAGATCCTTTTGTCGCAACATGTGTTGACCATTAAGAGTTTAATAAACAGTATTATTTGGATATGATTATTTCAGTTATTTTATTATTGTTTCAGAAAGAAAAATACAAACATCAACCAAATAGTTATGAAAGCAAAAAAAAAAACATGGTTGTTTCTTCTTATTAGGCTAAACAAATCTGTAGACAGAGCTGAGGCATGATGCATGAATTTGAAACTCTTTTTACGTAGCCAGAGGATGAGAAGCGATAAAGTCAACAGCAAGATCAACGGACTGGATCTTATCAGCATCATTATCAGGGATCTCAAATCCAAACTCTTCCTCCAATGCCATCACAACTTCCACACTGTCCAAACTGTCTAACCCGAGATCATTATGAAAATGGGCTTTTGCTGTTACCTGCAATGCACGAACACATTAGTACAGAGTTAAAATGTAACAATTGATTATGATCTGGACTTAGTAACTAAGAGCATGATTACCCAGAGTCTCTTAACTGAGATTTTTAGCTTCGGTTAAGAGATGGTCCTTAACTTTTTTTAGATTTTAATTAGATAAAACTAAAAACTGTCTTCTCTTTTGGTCGAAAAATATTAATAAAAAAATCATGAATTAAGAATCCCGACTAAGAGATCGGAGAGACAACACTTAGACCATGATTAACCTCAATATCTTAACTTGATTTTTTAGCTTTTAATTAAGAAAAACTAAGAAGCTTCTCTTAAATAAGATATACAATAAAAACTCTATAAATTAAGAATGTTAGGACTACACCAAAATTATAATTTTTTGTTAATTTATATAAATTATTAATTTATCGATATAATAATTGAAAATTTCAATTTGGAACTATAAAATTATATTATTTTATAGAGATTTTTAGTGTATATTAATTTATAGATTATTAGTTTAAAGATGTTATACGGCACAAAAACTGTTTCTGAGCCGAAAAATATAAAAAAATATTATATCACAAGTTAAGAACCCATGCATGCTAAGAGATGCTCTAAGTTGTTTCGAGCTGAGCGAAGCAGCACTACATAAACTCAAATGAAATTAATTGTTTCTTGCAAATACAATGTTGAATCCTAAGTTTCAAGGGAAAATCTTTTCTTGATCTAAGCAAATATGCTTCACATACTCATTCCATGGCTCGCATGGAGGAGGAAAGTACCTTAGAGGGATCGACTCTTTGAAAGTTTTTGACGACAGAGATAACGCGATCTGTCACATCAGATTTGTCTAGAAACGATCCTCTTACTTCCTCCGAGATACGCCTAAGAGCAGCCACATTAGTGAACCCCATGGTTGGGGTTCATAACTGATTTTTTTATTTTTTTTTATTTTTTTTTTTCGTTTGACTTTTTAAAAAAAAAAAAAAAAAAAAAAAAATTTAAGTGACCTATAGCGGGCCGCCACGTGGCGTGGGGCCCGCGAAATAGTGATGAACCAGGTTCATCCTAGTGAACCTTGAAGACACAGGTTCACACAAATATGAATATTATATTTTTTTTTTTTCTTGGGAAGGGGGTGAACCCCATGGGTGAACCCCCAATGTGGCTGCTCTAAGAACAATGCTCAAAGGGAATGCAGGTGATGGATTGACGTTAACTCTGAGGTAACGAAGCAGAGCATTTCTAGCAGCCATCGCAGTGTTCCCTAGAATCTGCAAGGAGATTTGCTTTATTGTTACATCACAAACCAAGTCGTACACTACGTAGTGGACCCTTAATGTCTTTCTTATTGGACCTAACTAACTAGAGATCCAATACCAGCTTTTTGTCTGGAATCAAGTTAAATGGTGTGTTGTAACAATTGAAAACAAGCTTTAAGCCCACTTATATCTACAATTTTGTATAGTAATATTTTATAAAATCTATATTAAATAAATAATTTTTATTTCTAAGTATTTTTAAATAATATAATATACGTAATATCTTAACAATATAATCAAGTTACATTTTCATAAGTATTTTATTTTTATCAATTCAAATATGATACTTATTTTAATAATCTAATAAAGTTACAATTGCATAATATAACCATTGGAAAGTATCAAAATAAAATCATATGTGACGTTGTACCAATGGAAGTTGATCACATCTTACTTTTGGACGTGGCAATACGACATAAAGGTGAATCACAAATTTGTAAAATCCATGTAATTTAGAGAAACAATACCAAACATTATTGTAGGTGGTTCTAATTGTAAAGCAAATATAATTTGTTTATTTGAATAATTTGTTTAAAGTATTAATTTGATCTTGAATTATAAAATTTTTACAAGATTTATGTACCTTTAATGCTAAAACCTCCAAATAAGTTTGGTTTGGTTAGAAACTGGTAAACTAAAGATTTATCATAGCGTCGGTTTGTTATATCGGTACCGTAAAATTGAGGGTTTAACCAATTAAATAAAATCAATTTGGGAATTTTCATGTTATATCTTCAGTTTATAAGTTTTTATCTAAATAAAATTTTAATAAAACCTCTATAAATTAATAAATTTGAATTTTTTTTTATTAATTTATAGAGATATTTATTTATAAAAATCTCCTTATTTAGATTTTCTATTTTTGGTATATTTATTTTCTAAGATAAGAAGAATATTTAATTTCATTGTAGAAACATTAATTATTATTTTTTAAAATTGTAAAATTATATTAATTTTATTATATTATTTGGTGTATATAAGATATATTGCATATAATCTAAATGTTTTTTAGATACAATATTATATTGCATATACAGTAATCTAAAGATAATTCTATTGTAAATATTAAACAAACAATATAATGATAGATTATTACTTATATAAATTATATATATAAAAAAATAATTAATTTATAATTTTAAAGAGATCATATATTTACATTGAATTTATAAAAAAATATTATCTTATTATTTTATTAATTTGTATCAAACTTTGAACTATTAATTTATCTATTAATTTATAAAGGTTCTACTGTAATTGATGAATATGAGCATTGAAAAAATATTTATGTTTGGTATCTCTTCGCTGCAGTTTTCTAAGTTCTAACGGAAATAATGAAGAGTATTGCACTCTATACATATACAAAACCCTCTATTAAGCTACATACTCTATTTCTCTCTTCTCTCTCCTTCCCCCATTACTATTTTTTTTCCTATGCCAAATCCCTAAATAGTTTATTCTTTTGGTATATTGAGCAAATTTACCCAATAATGAAATCAACTTTAGGAAAATTGTCATTGTAATAACAAACAGAATCTAATCCTTCCGAATAAGCTGATTCTTATTACCATTGGTTTTCAATATATGATTTGATATTGATGTGGCAAATAAAGAATAATAAATAAAGACCCCACATATTCTTCACTCCCTCACAAGTCACAAAACAAAACATTTTCTCTACAAATACGGAAATACCTAATAATAAATGTTTATCAAATAATTGAAGAAAAGTAGCTCGTGAGAGAAGAAGGACGAAGAAGGCGAAAGTGAAAGAAGAGAGAAAATTAAGCCATTAGCTACTTTACTAAACAACAAAAAAAAACAAAAAAAAAAAAGAAGAAGAAGATGAGAGCTTTAGAAGAATCTAAGATCTCTATTGTTTTGCTGCTTCTTTGCTTCTCAATCTTTGTCACTAGTCTCCAGGTGAGTGTCTTTCTTCTCATTTCTTACCATTTCCTTCTCTACTTGGTTTAGATTCTATTCACTTATACTTTTAAACCTTGGTTTCTGTAACCTTAGCTGGTTTCAAGTTTTGAACCTTATTTCACATTAATAATGGGTATTTCAGCTTCTCAGTTTTACTAGATTAGATGTTCTGGGCTCTGATTAGAATTTATTGTAATTTTTAGGCAAATGAGCTAACACCACCCTCTAAAGAAGAAGGAGAGATGAGAATGGTGCCATTAATGGAGGAGAAGTTTATGGTAATGAATGAAACAAGAAGGAAGCTTGGGAGTTTCCAGATATGTTCAGTCTGCACATGTTGTGGAGGTGCAAAAGGACTTTGCCTGCCTTCACCTTGTTGCTTTGCAATTAATTGCAACATCCCAAATAAACCCTTTGGTTATTGCTCCTTCACTCCCAAAACCTGTAATTGCTTTGGTTGCCATATCTGAGATCTTTCATTGTAAGCTTCTAATTTTTTCTTCTTGTTCTCTTTTTTTTTTTGGATTCTTCTCAAATCATGTTTTGATGTTTGGTTCCAATTAATCCAGGGGCAAAAGAAAGAATAAACCAACATCTTGATTTCATATGCAAAGTGTGAAAGGGAAGAAAAAAAGAAAGGAATATCTGTTCTTGGTTTGGTTCTTTATTTTAATTTATTTGTTTATAATTTTATTTTCAGTCTTTTTAAAATTTCATTACCTACTATATTCAGCAACATCATCATCCTCATTAATTTGTTATCTTTTTGCATTGCCATTTTGATAAAAAAAACATTAGGGTCTTTATGGAGGATCTCGCCCATAGTTCAAGCTAGAATTGTTTTTCCTTCTCTCTTCAATCAATTTCTATCTGTTATTTTTTCTCCAATTTGTTTCTCATGAGTTAGTGATTTATCACCAGGATTTGTACTTGTAACATATTTTAGAGTCATATTTGTTTTCGGTTAAGTTGAGGATTGGAATAATATTAAATATGATGATGATGGTGGTGGTAGTGATGTTGAAGCTGCTAAACTTAAGCCTTATGTAATGAGTGACATGTGGAAATTATTAAGAAGGATCAAGTTTAGTGCTCTGATCTGATAAGATCTAAGTGCTTGTTTTAGTTTACTTTAGAAAAGATGAAACAAAGTTTCTTTTAAAAACAAAATTTCGTCTTCAAGTGTAGGTACTAAACATATTATTGTCTTTGAATATGTTTGTTTATTGAGTGAAAAGAGACATGTTTTTAGTGTAAGAGATGTTTGAATCAAATGTTTGTTCCTACTTCATGCTGTCTCTCTCCTCTTGTTAGCATTTTTTTAATCGGCAAGATCTGAAATTAATTACTAATTGTTCATTTTTGTTCAGTATTCCCACATGACACATCACAAAGCTGTCTTATTGAAACTATTTGACCATATCATATTCCCCCTTGATTGGCTTTTAAGATTTGTACATTTATAGAAACTGCCAATCTAATAGTATTTCTAACACATTGCTATTTTTTTACTTCAAATGCTACAGTAAAAGAAAATTTAATCCAATACCTTTGTTTTCCTCTATAATAGAAACTTTTATTAAATTAGTTGATGATATATCTTTGAGAAATTTAGCCCTATAACAATTAAAAAAACTAAAATTAAATAACTAACCAAACTTCTCCTTCTCTCTTTTTTTTTTGTTCTTATATCTTTCTAATCCATAGTTAGCTTCTTAACTTTAGTTATTTTTTTGTTATTTTACCGATTCACCCTATATTATTTTATAATAATTACTGTATAATACCAAATATCTATTGAACTATAGTTTTGTTCCATATATCTCAAATAAAAATAATAAATTTAATTCTCCATAAAGCAAAAGTTAATACTCATCTCTCTCAAAAATCAAAAGTTTGAATTTTGAAACCTATAAACCCATGAAACTAGATACCAAACTATAATTAATACATCAAAAATTAATCATAAATATTAACATATTAATATATATCAATCAGTGTATCAATAATGTTTGTAGTATTATATACTTCGTCTTTCTTTTAATATATGACATTTTAGAATTATACACATAGATTATAAAAATCGTTTAATGTCTTACATTTTCTAAATAAAATATCATGAATTATTTACGTAACCATAATTCAATCAATAATAAAATATAGTGCATAATATCATTAATTATATAATATTAGTTGTTAATAAATTTTATATAGAAAATTGAAAACATTATACAATTTGGAACAATATTTTATTTTCTTTAAAGCGTCGTGTATTGAAAAACAGAATGAGTATATTTTCAATCATTTATTGGTTTGGTCAAGTTGAGTGTTTATTAAATACCTTCGGTGGCGTATTAAATATCTAGAGCTAACTTATTCAACGTCTATGTGTTCTCATGGTATGTCAATACCGAACAGACCCCATTCCCATAGATCGCTTTCTTCAACTATAATAGCCAGCTAGTATTATCAGCAATACTAATACTATAATAGACAAATCTGTTTATACATATGCTGTAAACACTAAAACACCAACACAGTTTACATAGTAATGAATGAGAGAGAAAAATTATAGCTCGTTTATTTTTGCTTATTCGAGCTATGCTACCAAATTCAATAGTACACAATTTGACAAACACACCCAAAAAACTGTCTCAGGATAACAGACATAAGTTGTAATCCTTTTAATTTATGTGGTCTTAGCTTTGATTTTCATTACCAAAACCTTCGTAAGACCGATTCGAAGGAACAAAGGCAGAAGGCTGTTTAGTAACAGCAGCTAAGATCTCTCCATAGCCCACAACTCCAACAAGAATATCATCATCAGAATCAGCCTCTGTAACCCAAACATGTGTGGCTCTATGAGACAGCATCTGAGCCATAACCGCAGCCAATGAGCTCGATGTTTTGCAAGTTAATGGCGCACTTCTTCCCCTGTACATGCTCCTACCGATGCTCAGTCTTGTCGGGCTTGTTGGGTTGAAACCGATGCTCCTGCTACTGAATTTCTTGGCCTTTGTTGTAGCTGTACCGTTCTGGTCTCCTCCTCCCACAAATGAAGTTTGGAGGAAGTCGCTGAATGATCTTGATGACATGTTGTCCTCAACTCCCATCACAAACTGTCCTGCATATAGATTAGCTAGAGCCCAAGCTGCAGCAAGATAATCACATTTCCAGAGCTTTGAAGCTGAGATTTCTCCTATTATCTTGAACTGTTTCTCGTTTTCGGTTTGTTCTAACACAGCGATCGCACTCGGGTCACACGGTGGCCTTTTGGTGGCTTCAATTGCTGGCAAAGAGGCTTCAATGAAGTTATAGTTGACATTGATGATTCCAAGAGAAGAGATTGATGTGAGTGGCAAAGGAGCTAATGCACCAAGGACGCCTATAAGGAAGCGGATCACGTCTTCCCTTGAGAGACAGCAAAACTTGTCCCGGCTTGATGCCTTGGAAGTAGCAGGCCTGTTGGTGTCAGTGGGTAGACCGCTACTACTGCTAGAGTTTTCACTGTTCTTCAGCCATTTTCCATTGTAAAGAATGGAGAATCTCTTGCTCATACCTCTCCAAACAACGCTTTTCGGAACTAGAAGTCGTCTCACTCCTTGTTTCATCATCTCCAAAGCATCTATCAACCTTGCATTACAATTGATACAATAAAGTCATCAACATAACAAACATTTGATTTTGTTGGCCAGTGACCACATAAAATTGTTACAAAGCAAGGAAGGTAACACAAATATCGAGTTCACTACAACAGAATAACCTGAAATTTTCTAGGACGCAAGCAAAATGAACCTCTATTAAGCAACCAAGGATCAAGGTCCTTAATTCAAGGAATATGGGAGCCAACAGAAGTATGCATACTATGTTAGAGTGCACAGTAGGTAGCTTTAGGGAAATATTATATATATTCTATAAAACAGGGTGTATGTGATATAAGTATAGCACAAGAGGCCAATATGAGCCAACTCAAAAGCTTCGGCATGCTCAAGTAAACGTGGCAGATCCACCTGGTCAATACACACAAGAAAGGAATAACAAGGATGCAAATATGCACGAAACACTGTATCTTGGATAGGTTTAGTTTAGAGAACTATCCTTTGTTGTCTACTTATCGAAAATCAAACAAATGGGCAGCAGATAGATGTAACCTGCACAAGTCATAAAAACTTTGTGACCCTTTCAAGTGTAAAATGAGATGTTTTAACAATCCATGCTCCTCCCTATGATAATCAGCTTTCCAGATAAAACTACTAAGCAGTTAAAGTTTACTAGGTTAAAGGAAACAAATGAAAAAAAAATTACTTAAAGAGTTATGGCTTCTAGCTAATTAGATGATACGTTAATGGTATGGGCATTAATGGACGTGATTATTTTCAAACAACAATTCTGTTTGTAGTAGGTGAGGATGATTAAGGGAGAAGGATAGGTAAAATCTTTTTTTTTGTAAGACATAAAAACAAAAATAATTTTTCACACTATAAAAATATACTAGCATCACAGAATCTAAGACAGTCTTACTGTAATCATATCTTTCCTGTTTTTTGTATTAGTTGATGACATAAAATATCATTTCAAATAACAAAGACAGCTGCAGAATTAAAATAAGCAAGATAAGAGACGTTGATGTCAACGATGATGTGAGCATTTAAAACTATTTAGTAATTGTTCTATCCCAGATGTTTGACACATCTTTTCTTGAACACCGAGCACAAGAAAACAATGTAACACTTCATTTTGCTAACCAAGGTTGGTAATTTGAGGAGCCATGTTCCTTACTCATAATTTAATGGAATCAATCAATAAATAAAGAAGATAAAGAGGTCCCACTTTCATGTACCTATATTGAAAATGAAATCAGATCAATAATAATTTTTGGGTATCTGATCACATGGCTATAAATATGACAGAGTTTCTCTACTTAGATCTAACCATGTTGATAGATTCAATCAATTATCACAACATGAAAGGAACGAAAAAACAGGATCTTAATTAGTGGAGTAGTTTGGAAGTTGAAATAGATAGCAAACTTCGTATTTCCAACAAGATCCAAGCTCAAATTGTCTTTGCCATTTGACTTAAGATGTGACCTTCTCTAGTAAAGTTATTATCCTAGACACGGTTCTTTTTCTAACACATGATATCCTTTGACTAATGCAAGATCCTAAAAAAAAAAATGCAACTAAAAATCGAAAAAGAAGTAAGCTAGGAAACGAAATGACCCAACTTTGGATAAATTTAACTTTGTGAAAAAAACATCAAATCAGAGACTTTATATCCAACTAAAACCAAACTAGTCTTAAAGACATCAAACACAGATTAAATCATTCAAAGAAACATAAAACTAAAATTTGACAGTTTTATGACAAAATTAAGCTTAAGATGTGTGACCCTTTGTAGTAAAATTAACACCCAAATTATCTGCAACTAAAAATCGAACACAGACCGAACAGAAAGTAACCCAAGAGAAACATAAACTAAAAAAACACAAACTTGAGATCCTAAAACTAAAATAAAAACTGGTTTCATCAAAAAGAAGCAAACAAAACAAACCTGGTGCCAGGATCAACTTGTTTGAGGAGAGTATTATTAGGGGAAACAACTTGAGAGACAGGAATCTTCATAGCTTTGTCTTCTTCAAGACACTCACTCTTAGCCAAGAACGCAACTATATCCAACGAACTCAGTATCCCAACAAACCTCTGCTGCCTCATCTCACTATTCTCCACCAACCCTGGAGGAAGAGCCGAGGACGGGGATCTCTTCCTCCAAACGGGGATCCCACACTCCGTCGACTCTCCGATGGCGCGAATCGCGGATTCGACGGTCTCTGTCTCGTAGAACTCGACCATCTCTGGCTTCCCCACCGTCAGATCTCCCACCACGTGGTACAGAAAAACCGATGCCATTTTTGAGAGAGAGAGAGAGAGAGATTTTTTATTTAATTAATTAATGATTAAGTTTTATAAGAGAGAGTGGAGAAAGACGAGGAGGATGTGAAGACCGGTGATTGGTGATCGGAGGAGGATCAAGAGGAGGAGGCGGAGAGGAGAATTAAACATTGGAATCCCATTAAGAGAGAGACGACTGCTCTCTGTTTTTTTCTTTTGGGTTGGATTGATATGAACCACAGCGAGTTTTTGGTTTTGTGGAAGTGTCATTATTTATTTTTTGTATTTATACGGAAACATTACTATTCATTCTCTTAGTGAAGAAAAAAATCTACTAATTAAAGACACGTTTTTTAATAGGTGTGTGCAAAACATTTTAGGAGAGATTATAGCCAAACCTACTGCATGTAAAGTCATCATTATGGTGGGTACAAACACAAGATAGAACAAGTCGAAATGGCACAATATTCAGGTGGTACAGTGTTAATCAGAATACTTGACAATAAACACCGAACACTAGTGAAACATATAAGAATTATTGCATTCAGTGATTATATAAAGTTAGCAAAACTCGTAAAGAACTATAAAATTTGTAACAGTGTAATTAGCTCTACTTATAGTTACGAAATTTTTAATATTAGTATAATTATTATCACTTCTTTGAAAGACTTGTTGTCCTGGAAAGTTAAATATAAAAAAAAAGTCATTACACAACCAGAGTTTGAGACTTGGAGAAAGGCATAAAACCAAAGAAATGGCATTTAGGGAAAAGCTAATTGCTACTACTTGAAGAAAAAACAGTTATTTATGCCTTTTATCTTTAGCATTTGCAATTTTAAACAAAGACGGTAGCTGCTGTTATGTTTTTTCACCATCCGCCGCCGCCACCACCGCTATTTCCCCAACCGCCGTCTTCACCGCTTTTTTTGCCACTAGACTCCTTTCCCCAACCACCACCATCCTCGCTGCTCTTTTTACCACCAGACTCATTTCCCCAACCACCTCCACCTCCAGATTCACTACCCCATCCACCTGCACCATCACTCTTTTTACCGCCCGACTCGCTTCCCCAACCACCACCACCACCACCACTACTTCCCCAATCTCCATTTCCATCTTCTCTCTCGCTGTTATTATCCCTCCTTCCTCTGCCTCTACCACGACCACCACCATACGGCCTTGGCGCTCCACTTGGATGATGCCCATCCCCACCGTTTCTGTACTCACCACCTCTCCCTACATTTTTCACTTATGTTTAACTACACACTCCACATTTTTAACTTATAAATAAGCCAAGAAAAGTCGAACCATAACCATCAAGCGTTACCTGGTCTTGGTCCAGAAGAGCGATCTGAGTTACCTTTCCAGCCACCACCTTCACTCTGCGAACCACCACCCCAACTACCTCCTCCAGAAGATCCCCTGTCTGCTGGGCTTCTCATGGGCACCATTGCAGCAACAGACCTGATCGATGGAACTGTTTCCTGCAACGGGTCATCAATATGCCTCTGGAAGTAGGCCACAAGCTTGTCAATGCTTTCAAACATTCTTTTCCTGAACTTGAATCCCTTAGGGTATAGACCCACATACTCGTGATGTGGGTTGGTGCTCCTTATGTAGGACAGTATGAAGGTACCAGGATGCTCGTGTGAAATTCCGAAACAGTAGACTATCCTTGCAGGATTTTCACTCTTCTCGATCCTGAGTAGCTCATCAACTTCTGCTTTTGTCCCCTTCCGGAACTTCCTGTAGTTGAGCATCGTCTTGAGATGAGTGACCAAAGGATCAACATACCGATCCATGACCTGCAGTTATGAGATGTTGTTTGTTAAACAAGCTTCATAACGCTGAATAAATAAATAGTTGAAAGTACAATAATAGACATTACCTCATCTAAATCCTCGAAGGTGTCTTCTCCAATTGTCAGCGTCTTCCCAATACACTGTAAGCTCGTGATGTCCTTGTTTTCTTTTCCACCTTCAACTATCTCCTTGTGAGCGTAGACTCCATCATAAATTTTGAGGGTCAATGTCAAGTAATTGAGTCCTCGAGAGCTTGGCCGAACAATGCTCTCTCCAAATTCTTTGTCAGATAAATACTGAAAAGATCATATCACCAACTCAGATATCTATTACAAGAATGTAGCAGCAGAGACCGAGACTACTACTAATGCAATCAACCTAACAAGTACCACCAAATAAAGAGTAAAAAGCCTGGAAATACCTCGGTTGCTTGATCAGCAGTGATGTTCTGGAAACGTGGATGGACAATCATCCGAGACTTGAAATGCTTCTTCACAAGCTCCTTTTGTTTCCGAGCCTTCTCTTTTTCAAGCTGGAGACTGTTTCTATCCTCATGGTAATACGGGTCCAGATTCTGGTTCCGCTGGTGCCTGGTGTTTCTCATCTCACTTTCCTTGCATATAAGGAGCACTTGGTACCTCTCCTTATGAATCGATTTGATCTTGCATGTAAGGATTTCACCTTCTTTCAGTCGGTCTGACAACTCCACGATATCTCTCCCATCATCTGCGAAATCCTCCTTGGTAAGCATCCCAGTTAGTCCAGAATCTAAGACACATATGGCTCTTCCACCCTGCAATCTCCGAACAGTGGCCTGGACAATTCTTCCCTCAGCTATGGTGTCTTCGGTTTCACCTGAATTCATATAGAACTCTTCATCCGGAGTTGGATCTTTAAACGGTATCCGCCAATCCTGGAATCCACAGCTTAACTCTCTCATGATGTTACTGTAAGTTTCCTTCTTATTCTCCCGTTTCTTGCTCGCAAGATACTCCTCAAGGACAACCTTTTTCAGAGAGCCTGGTCGATCTCTCACATGCTCTATAGCCATCTCTATCGCATCCTCATCATCATTGGAATCACCTCTGACATCCTGATCATAAATATCTTTTGCCAATTCTTGTGCAAGACCATAAGATTCCGGATGTATCCTGGTGTCATCCAATAAGTCGATGAATTGACTGCTACTAGCAGCCAGCCCACTCCTCCGGATGCGCAAGAAACCGGCAGCATTTACAAAAACTTTTTTACCAAGCCCATGCATTATCAGGTCCTTGCGGACAAATATTGAACCCGCTCTTACAAGAGACCTCTGCAAGGATGCAGCCTTCCTAGGTCCAAGTCCAGAAATGAACTGTAGAGGAGAAAAAAGCCACTCGTGGCTAGCTGCCAAATTGATGTCGATTCCAACCTGGTTTGTTATGTCAACCATAACCTGTTCAACCATCCCGTACTTCTCGTCAACCTGAAGAAAACCCTCCAATGGATGAAGCTTCCAAGACAGTATTTCCCGGCCTGGACCACATAAGGTCGCTGCCATTACTAGAGGATTCTGGAGATAGCGTCCAAGAGCAACTGCACGTTTCACGATCCCAGACTGTTGAGGTAGCTGTTCGCCCGAGATTCGAGAATTTTCATATAGCCTAGGAAGTGACTCGTCTACATAAACAACGGTTAGATCATCCATCCCCTGCCCAACATCTCTAGCTTTTTCTTCCACTATCCGAAAAATGACCTGAAATAACAAGACAAGGAGAAACATGACCATGATTACTAAGCAAAAGAAATAGCAATGAGTAACACACACAAACTACAGGCCACTACACCGTAGATAATTAGGAACTACTTGAGCAAACCAGTGATCAACATAAGTTCTACATTTTAAGATCAGGCTCGGAACTTGTATGTTGTGTAAGCATGAGTTACGAACAAAGCTTATGTACATGAAGCCTTACCTCATAAATATCATCCTTCAGACGAGTACAAGCCAAATTGACAGCTCCTAGAGCCACAACATGCGGTTGGTGGTCCATCATAAACTTCAAAACACGATCCTGGTCATTCTTTTTACGTTGTTGGTCGTTGACATTTTGGGATCGTAGTGTGAGGGATCCAGCATAGAGCACATCAAGCACCTCTCCCGATGAATCCAGCATCACAAACGTATTTGGCGGCTTTCCAGGACCCCAGCAACAGGCCATGATCCTCGGTGCAGCTTCCTCATCTGAGCTAACGTCCATTTCTTTCTTCTGATATGGCCCTGCAGATACCTTATTCCACAAAGTCTGTCCATACTCTGACAGCAACCTACTCTTTGCTCTGCTAGTTAGCAGGGATCTTGCTTCTTTCTCCATTGATGGCAAAATAAAAGTATGAAGTGCATCCTCCAGTATCAATTTTCTTTGCTCATTCCAGAGCTGAGCATACTTACTAACACCGACACTCAGATAGTGTTCATAGCAGTCGCTAACCAGCCTATTCATGTAATTCTCAGGCAGCTTGAATGTTACTTGAAGAAGCTTCTCCTCTTCTGCCTTCTGAATGAGAAGCCACTGCGCACCCTCAAACTTGCTCAATGGCTTTTCACGTAACCATTTAACCCCAGAAAACTGATGGAAAGCGTCTATTATTCCATTCCCATCTACTGTTGGACATGTTGAGACTACTGCATTCTCCAGATAAATGCCACGGACATACTTTTTGACTGATGGCTCACAACTTATCTCAACAGCAGCCTGAAAAAGGAAAAAAAAGAAGTATCTCAGCACTGGTAGGAGAAGTTCTTGTTGTATTAAATCCAGCTAAAGTGTTCATAATATAAACTTCGTTGCAGGAACTTACCATATGCCGTGCACCCTTAAGAACAGCTTGAGAATTTTCAAACATTGCGCACACAAAGTTCATTGCCATCTCCTCTGGAGTTTCCTTTGCGTCCTCAAGCTCATCAACCTGCAACTCAAGTAGTATCAGAATTGCTATTCCAAACTAGCATGCGGAGGAAACAGTAGAAAAGAGCACTGACCAGTTTTTCTAGGGATAATGCAAGTCCCAACTGCTCCGCGCTATACCCAAATTTATTTGCAACCTCCCAGAGACCTGCTTTGCTGCAGATGCCATATTGTGATTTTCGCGTCGGCCTCTTGTACTGCCCTTCATCAGCACCAACTTCACCAGCAGGAAAATGCAAGTTGAACTTGGAATCGACGTCATCAACTTCTCTCTCTGTTTCTGCCACTTTAAGGGACTTCATGACTGATTCAAAAAGATACTGGTTTAGGTTAAGCCTATTCTCATCATAGACCCTCCGAGACTCTTCTTCGAAACGTTTTGTATAGTAACCATGCAACGCTGTTTTTCTTTTTCGAAGAAGGAGCCACTTCTTATCCAAGTCTTGAATCATCCAGAGGACCTACATTGGCATATAATTATTATATCAAAAT